GACTAAATACTTATTTTCCCCACTGTATGGCCCCCCACATACAGCCCCCCACATACAGCAGCTTATTTACCTGCTCAAAAACAGAAGTTCAGTCTTGTTCACTGCTTGTTGTTTAAACATGGGAAAGTGTGTTTTCAATGAGACTTGACTTGATATCAGTGATTTTTTTTCACTCAGTTGAAAGCGGTTCACATCAGTCAGATATGACCGTTTCATTCAAATAATTTAGTGTTCTTGTATTAAAATTAAATATTTAATAACTAAATTGATAGCAATAAAAGGTTTCAATTATAACATTTCTGGGACCATTTGAATGTTTCAGTTAATGTGTCGATTTGGTCTTAAATGTCTTTACAAATGGTCTTAAAAGGTCTTTAAAAGGCCTTTAACTTACTGAAACCTGCATGAACCCTGTTAAAAAGACAACCTTATCATAAATATTTGTTTATGAATGCATAAAACATACTGTAGCCTATATGAACTGTARTATTCTGTAACTGTACAACTGTAATACTAACAATTGAATTTGATGGAGACATGACAACAGGGTTAGCATTTTTTCAGAATTAATTAATTACACAAATAAGACAGATTTGACATTTTCTATGTTGTGTTGATGAAATGATGAGAGAAATTTACAATTTAGAAATGACAAAGACAATCATTTTTTTATTTGACAGGAATGCATTTTAAATCTGGAGAATGTAGAAAGATGATGTTAACCAAACTTATTACCAGGCCAGTTAATTAGCTCGGACAGTATATGTTGTCTGAATTAAAACCAGGTTACTGTGGCAGTTTAATTAAGAATGGAATCGGCACAGGGACAATAAAAGATGTGGCTGACTGTGTTTAGTATTCGTATCATAGCAGAGCTCCTACATACAGTTATTTCTCTGAGCACAGTGTGAACAGAGCGGAGTCGTTAATTAGGCGCTCACAAACCCTGTTGCTCTGAAAAACGTCGCCCCATTGCTCCTCTACCACCTCCACTGATCTCCAATCATGTGCCATTGACACCCACGGGTTGGAAGCATTTTTCATGGCAGCCAAAGATTGCAGCGGCTGATTTGACTGATTAGCACCTCGAGCCGCCGAGCAAAGCTAATCATGAAAATCATGCGGTGGTCAGGGCAGAACCCTGTCAGGACCTGTCTGCTCATTGTTTGAGGCCGTTAGCTCTAATTAGAGGGCTGTGCCTGGCACAGATGTTCACTACGGTCATCACAAAAACAAGAAGCCAAAGTTCTGCAAATGTGAGCCACCTGGTAAAGCTTAGCACTGTATAAAAGGTAAAAGAAAAAAAAAAAAAACAAGTCCAAACCATAAACCCACTTTTAGGTCAAGCTAAAAATACAAACAATTCATTTCTATAATGATAGAAAAACTCCAGTGAGTAAAAGTTTATCTAAAGGAAACCAGCAGAYTAGTTTTGTGCGTTAAATGAGGCAGTAACGCAGCCGAAACACTCAACATGTTTAAATGTTTCAAGGGATCCCTGATTAGTTGTAACATTRGACTCTATTTAATAAACATATATTTTAAYTGTAAAATAAAGACTGTAAAAATACTGTAGGCTGTTTTGTTTTTATAATTTTTAAACAAAAATTTTAAAAATATATTACACGGACTGAGCCATTTTATTTACACACAAAGCATTCTGGGTAAATGATGACGTGGATAGGTCATCGGCATGAGGCTGCTAGCGAGCTATATC